TGAGATGGATCGATTCTGTGAATGGAGTGGTGAGAATGAGTGTGTCTGAGATGGCGAGGTGGGCACAGAATAGAACGGCGTTTAGGGCTCTTGTACATAGGGTCGCTATGAGTAGCAAGAGACTTGATGGCACATAACAACAAATAACGACAATATCCTCCAGCGTCATTCATTTTGCTAATATTTCATGAGTTCCTTGTTTTTCAATGCTGCATTGTAAGCAATGGCTTTTTTGAGAACTCAGATTTTGGAGAGCTTGGAAGCCGCACCACTTGCCACTTTGGTGACGGGCAGCCATCCAGCTGTTTCTAAATCTCTTCCTCCTTCTCGCCTTTGTTCCAAGCCTTTATTTTGGCCATGGCTGAGTGATAGAAGCCCGCTGCCCCCTGATCCAATGCCCAGGCCTTTTTATATTCATTGTCGATCTTTCACATGCACACGAGGCAAATGAGAATACCATGGCTTGGATCAGGTGTACCTTAAACCACAGAGTGACATCCTTTCCCTTTATCATTTGAAAGCGGTCTGTTGCAGCTGAGAGAGCCAATGTGCTATTACTTTCTAATTGTGTGGTCTTCAAGAGATTGTAGCAGCTGCAACTGGGCTTCAGCCTCCCACCACACAGAGCGCTGCGTTGCATTTGTTGTTAGATGCTGTAAGCTGAGCACCTAGTGTTCACTCATAGTGACCCTATGAACAGCAGAACAGCAGATCTGAACTCTCACCTATCCTGTGCCATCCTCACTATCTCTGACCCACTTGAGCCCATCGTTGCGGTCTTTGTATCTATGTCATTGAGAGTCATCCTTTCTTTCGCTTATCCACTACTTTTCCAAGTATGATTCCTTCCTTCGAGGAACAGCATGCACTTGGCTGCACTTTCTCCAAGACATATCTGTACTGTTCTTTTGGCAGCCGAGCAGATATTCAGTACTTTCCCACAACACCACAAATCTCTTCTGTCATCTTAGGCACCTTCTATCATTCTTATTCATTTGCCGACTCTCAGATGCACAGCAGGAAATGAAAAGAGTATGGCTTGAATTCAGGCACACCTTAGTTTGTAAACTAACAGCATTGCTCCTCAGTAATTTGGAGAGTTTCTGGACAGCAAACTTTCTGAATGCAATGTCTCCTGAGCTCCTGACCTTGCTAGTAGCAAGGGAGTTGATTGTGGATCCAGGTAAGATGAAATAGTTGGCAATTTCAGTATTTTCTCCATGATATTGCTTGTTGGCCCCGTGGTGAGGATTTTTGTCTTCTTTATGTTGAAATGTAATTCATATTGAAGACTGTAGTTTTTGACCTTCTGCAGCAAGTGTTTCAAGTCTTCCTCATTTTCAGCAATCTTGTGTCATCTCTATAAAGTAGTTGTTGAGTCTTCCCTCAATCTTAATCCTAACGCCACCTTTTGTTTGTAGTATCCAGTTTCTCAAATGATTGCTCAGCATACAGATTGAATAGGTATGGGGAAAGGATACAACCTAGTTCTTGATTTTAAACTATGCATTGTTCCCGTGCTCTGTTCAAACAATAGCTTCTTGGTCTAGGTGTATATATTGTATAATTAAGTGTTCTGGAATTCTCATTCTTCTCATTGTTTGCCTTAATATGTTATGATCCACACAGTCAAATGCCTTTATGCAGTCAATAATACACAGATAGGCTTTTTTCTGGTATTCTCAGCTTTTAGCTAAGATTCATCTGACATCAGCAATGCTATCCCTGGTGCCATGACTCTTCTAAACCCAGCTTGGGGTTCTGGCAGTTCTTTATGTTCTAGCCATTTTTAAATAATCTTCAGCAATATTTTGCTTGCATGAGGTATTAATTATACTCTTAATGATAATGATGATTAATTAATGATAATGCTAATGGATGATAATTGCCACATTCTGTTGGATCACCTTTCTTGGGAATTGGAACAAATAAGGATCATTTCCATTCAGTTAGTGAAGTTGCTGTCTTCCAAATTTCTTAGCCCAGCCTGGAACACATTCAGGGCTGTATCTGTTAGTTGAAACCTGTCAACTGGTATCCCATTGATTCCTGGGGCTTTATATTTTGTCAATGCCATTAGTACAGCTTGAACATCTTCCTTCATTATCACTGGCTCTTGATTGTTTGCTACTTCCTGAAATACTTCAATGTCGGCCAATTCTTTTTGGTACAGTGATTCTGTGTATTCTTCCCATCTTCTTTTGTTGCTTGCTAGTGTGTGTGTGGGGGAATCTAGATTTCCCCCCCCCCCCATAGCGACTCTCAGTATTGCAGCTCGAGTATCTGAAATGCACTCATGATACGACAAGGGTTAAGTCTTCTCCTAGGGGGCTACATATTTGTTATCGACACAAGCCACCACTAGGAATTTCTTCTGTCATTCTGCCATCCAGCGCACCAGTGCTGTCAGGCATAGCTCCTTCCACCCTCTGCCTCTCACCTATCTCTACTTTTCCCTCTGCACGTGTCTTCTTCACCTCTCTTTCTCCTCCGGGATTATAACTTCCCTGTCAGTGTAGGCAGTCAGATACTGTTGCCCAAAGCAGACGATTCCACGTGGTGAGCTGCCTTGCCCACCTGACCAGCCCCTCCAGAGTCGTGGGGCTGACGGGAGCCCAGGGCAGGTGAATTCTCATCAGCCTCCCTCCGCCTCCCGGTGGGGGCGGGTGCGTCTCGCCCAGCCCTCCTCTGCGGGAGCCAACCCGCGAGCTGAGGGGCTTGGCTGGGACGGAAAGCGCATAAAACTCCCGCTGGCCTGCGCGTCCGCACCGCCGCGAGCTCCCTGCGGCTCTGGTTGGTCTCTGTTTTCCCAGGCGGGCGCGCAGCCTCAGCTTCCAGCCCGCGGCAACGCACGCTGCTCCAGACCGCGCCACCTCCGGCCTGTGCCCCGGGAAGATCCAGATTTGCAGGCGCCTGCTTTCTGCTCTCAGCTCTCAGAAAAGTTTGGTTAAGTGAAGTAACGTGGATTTGGGAGTGGTGGCAGCCCTGGCAGCCTTCCTTCTGCTCCAGAGGCCTCATCCTCAGGGGTTCCTCATCTTTTCTTCCCATCTTGACAACCTGCCACCTGGACTCCTGCACCTGGTTCCTCATCTTTCCCCCTTTCTTATCTCTTCCTTCTCAGCTCTGTTCCTGTCCCATTAGCTCTTTCTAGCCATTTTCAAGGCTTCTGGCAGCCCACCCTTCTCTTTTCTCTCCAATTTTCTTTCATTACTCCTCAAAAGGAGAGAGGTGGGCTGACCTATCTCGCCTCTGCACCCTATCCATTTGACCTCAGCTTCCTTCTCCCCCTTCTCCTTCCCTCCCAGCAAATCTCCACCATGGATTTTGGCCCTCCTTGGGCTAGTAAGGGTCCTACCCTTGAGGGCACTCTCTCTACCCCCAATGCCACGACACCCTGGCTGGGTCGGGATGAGGAGCTGGCCAAGGTGGAGATAGGGGTCCTGGCTACAGTCCTGGTGCTGGCCACGGGGGGCAACCTGGCTGTGCTGCTGACCCTGGGCCAGCCTGGCCGCAAACGCTCCCGAATGCACCTGTTTGTGCTCCACCTAGCCTTGACCGACCTGGGCGTGGCGCTCTTCCAGGTGCTGCCCCAGCTGCTGTGGGACATTACCTACCGCTTCCAGGGCCCTGACCTCCTCTGCCGAACTGTCAAGTACCTGCAAGTGCTCAGCATGTTCGCCTCCACCTACATGCTGCTGGCCATGACGCTGGACCGCTACCTGGCCGTCTGTCACCCCCTGCGCAGCCTCCAGCAGCCTAGCCAATCTACCTACCCGCTCATCACCGGGCCCTGGCTACTGGCCGCCATCCTCAGCCTCCCTCAGGTCTTCATATTTTCCTTGAGGGAGGTGATAGAGGGCTCCGGGGTGCTGGACTGCTGGGCGGACTTCCGCTTTCCCTGGGGACCGCGGGCTTACATCACCTGGACCACCCTCACCATCTTCGTGCTGCCCGTGGCCGTGCTCAGCGCCTGCTACGGCCTCATCTGCCAGGAAATCTGTAAGAACCTAAAAGTGAAGACCAAGGCCTGGAAGGTGGGAGGAGGTGCCTGGAAGGCTTGGGACAGGACCCCCGAGCTGGCGTCAGCTCCAGCCACCTGGGAGCTGCCGTCCAGGGTCAGCAGCATCAGCACCATCTCCCGGGCCAAGATCCGAACCGTGAAGATGACCTTTGTCATTGTGCTGGCCTACATCGCCTGCTGGGCACCCTTCTTTATCGTCCAGATGTGGTCTGTGTGGGACGAGAATGCACCTGATGAAGGCAAGTGTGTGGATTGTCTGGGTGGAAGGGGTTGAGGTGGAGATGGGCAAAGAAGAGAGGGTGGGAAGCCTTGGACAAGTCTAGGAGCTTCCAGCATCAGGCAGGCAGCAAATGGGTGAAGCTGTTAAGGAAGAGAATGCTTGTCCCATGTGAAAAGGGGCACCTACAATTTCCATCCACAAAGCTACAATTTTCCATCCAGCCAACTGACATCACATGAATATCTTGTATGTAAAATTTGGTCTTAAAATGTCGATGACTCATTTTTATATTTCTGTGTGGCCCTAGTGAAATAGGACAATTGATAGATTAAACCAACCAGCTGCTAGTTTGTTAGATGGCTTTCGAGTCATAGAATGATAGAGCAGAAAGTGACTTTTAAATTACCTTGTCCAGGAGAGCTGCCTGTGTAACCCACGGGCTGTCTCTCACAGCATCTGGACATGACCATGAACTCCTCAACAGTCACTTCCAAGTAGTCAGGATTGGCACAAGCAGTCCTGAAATTTCAAGTTCAACCCTGTCTTAGTATACAAGGGCTGCTGTATCAGACATACCACTAGTCGGTAGTTTTAAAGAACAAGAGACTAGAAGTCTTAATTTAAGGCATCAGTCGCAGGGAAAGGCTTCCTCTGTCCTGTTGGCAATTAGGGAAAAGGCTTGCCTCAGCTTTGGCTGCCCTGATGCTCCTTGCAATTTCCATGTAGAGTCTAGCTTCCCCCCATTTTTGTGCTTGCTTCTCTCTGCGCCTAATTTGCTCTCTTAATTTCTCAAATACGTGGAAGCGCTGGTATTGCATCATTAACGTAACAGAGAAAATTGTAACTCCCATCCTGAAATGGAATTACTTGTGTAGGTACAGGGGGTATCTTTCAGCGGAACACATTTCAACTATGACAAACCCTTTAATTTAGCTAATGAGAAAACAGAGGCTCAGAGAGGAAATGTGACTTGCTGAAGATCACACAGCAAGCAAGTGGCAAAGTGATGTGTGTAGAAATCGTATCTGCTGTCTCATGCCTCGGCCTTGACTTTGGCTCTATATGTGATGAGGGGAAACTCTCCCCTATGAGGTGAGAAACACAACATAAGACTAGGGTCTGATCAGCACATGAGAGGACTTGTTCTGGTCACTTTTTTGGGGAACAGTGTTCTAAGATACCTGTTCCTGCTGCCAACTTGTCTGGGCAGCTGCAAATAGAGGGAAACTGATCAACAGCAGACTGCATAACGGTCCCAGCTCAGGATACATGATGGGCACAGCGTGAAATTGTCCTGAGTAGACCTTATCCATGGTTCCACTGGAAACTTCTGGAGAGTTCATTAACCAACATACCCAGTCTACCAATTCCCAACAGTCTCTTAGAAAACCAATCCTATTCTTTCTTTTCTTGACCTCAGTCTTGAGGAGGGTGTTATTTCCAAATTGCCCTTTTTGCGATGAATACATTAATTCTAATTTGCAGTAGGGACCTCCCTGCTCTGGCCAAGCATACAACAGAAGGAAGGAGGGCTTCCCAGTGCTAAGCACACCCAGTCCTTCAGCTAATTAGTGGTGTTTTTCTCTATTTTATTTCCTTGAGGATCAGAGAGGTGAAGCAATTGGTCCACAATGTGGCTGCTGTTAAGTTTTGGAGCAGGACTTCAGTTGAGACCCTTACAGACCAACTTCTTTCATGACATATTTTATTCTCAACAGCTGCAAACTTAGCTGAGGGCACCAGGGGTGAGGTGGTCACTCCCCCTTTTTAGGAGAACCTCTGAGAAGATGGGGTCGCTGCTACTCAGCCAGCAGAGCTGTCCCTGGTTCCCTGCTGCGCCTCCATCACCACGAGCTTGTATTTCAGCACTGCATCTCTCACCTGCACAGAATGATTTACCACTTGTCAACAAAGAGCCTCTAAGGAAGAACAGGAACATAGAGTTGTTATCTTCTGAAAAACATGCTCTCTTAGGAAAGAAAAATCCTGTGAAGGCCATTTTTTTTTCTGACCTGGGTTTTGTTATTTAAAATTGATCTTCCAGTACACACAGTTTTCAGCATGCTGGCTTCCCAGTCTCCTGGCCCTGAGGCTGTGGTCAGGGTGTGCATATCTAGTTACCACTCCCCAAGTGCTTCCCGAGGCTAGGAGCTAAGCTCCAGAAAGGCTGTCTGTGGGCTGTGCCTTCATGAGCTGAGACTGGAACGTGGAAGTTCCTGTAGGTGCTGGTGCATCCTCTGTGGCTTATCTCCAGCCTCTTCCCTAGACATGGATCACACAGAAGCCCAGACTCCTGATGCTTCCAAGGGCAGGAACTAAGGAGCCCTGGTACTATGTCACGTGTAAAACTACGAACCAAATGCAGGAACTGGTGGGGCTCCTCTGTTCCCGGCCTACACTGGGCACTGAATACACATCAAAGGAACAAAAGCAGTGAATGTTTATCTCACTCCTTCAGACAAAACAACTCCCCAGGTCTTCTCAGCCCTTAATCTTGCTACCTGGGAAGCAAGCTGTGGGAGGCTGAGTTTGTGGTTGAAGTTGGTCTCTCTCCTCTCACTCATGCACCTCTCTCACCTTCACTGCTGTACTGTAGACTGTCTGGCCTGGCCCAGGTATCTTCTCTCAAGTGTTTTTACCTCATGTCTTCCCTTCTGTCGGGCCATGAATAGTCAGACCTGCAAGTATAATACTGGACAGTGTGCACAAGGAACTAGTGAGTCTAAAGCTTTCACTGTGGTTGGCAGAGTAGACACTTGGGCTGTGCCTTTGGCTTTGCTTATTTGGTGCAAATTATAGTGGTTATTGTTGTTAGGTGCCATCAAGTCAGCTCTAACTCATACAACAGAAGGAATCCCTGCCCAATCCGGTATCTGCCTCTCAGTCTCAGCCACGCTCAGGCCCACCTTTGCAGTCACTGTGTCAGTCCATCTTAATGAAGGTTTTCCTCTCCTTTTCAGACCCTCTACCGACCCAGACGTGTCTTTTTCCAAGGTGGGTTCAGGATCTCTGCGTTAGTATCAGAAGACGTAGGTTTGAGTTGTGGCTCTTATTAACTTGAGGTAAATTTAGACCCTCACCTCTCAGATTCCTTCCAGCACTGACCTTATACTCAATGATTCTGCAGCTTCCACTGAAAAGCAAAGTAATTAATTCCATGTGCCCCAGGATGTAGCTGCAATCATAGTGCATCTAACAGAACTAGAGAGCCCAACCAGCAACTTGACCATTGGCATGAAGCATTTTATTTAGTCTTTAGGAAAAATATTATACCTGGAAAGAATCTTATCAGTCAAGAGAAAAATTGGTTTTTCTCTACAGAACGATGCACTGCATACCATGAAGGCAGGCTCCAGAGGAAAGTCAGTGGACCCAGTTTGAGGCTTGGCTTCCTTGTACCTGGATGCTGCCCCTAGCTCTAAGCAGAGATGCTGGTGCTGGAGGCCACTTCATCTCCATTGACTGTCTTCCCAGGCCCTCAGCCTAGGGCCTTCACAGAGTTCCAACCTCAAATGACTAAGTGTCTGAACAAGTGATACTGTCCCTGAGGCTTTAAGGAAGAGATTACAAAGGATTATGTATATTTATGATTCATGGCATAAATAGGCATGGAGCTCAAAGGCTCTTGAACTTGATCTCATGCTGAAAAGAATTTTAAAAAATTTTAATTGTGATTTTAATGAACATTTACAGAGAAGTTAGATTTTTATTCATTCATCATTGCACATTTTATACTGCCCCCCAACCCCGCACCAGCTCTCTTAGAAAGTAATTTTTCTAGAAGTTACCTGTCATACAGAAGTTGCCTGGTCCTGAGTCAACACTCAGAAGGAGGTTCACGTTCTCAGTTTCTCCTGCTTGGACTGGTCCTGTTCCTGACCCTGCTTCCCTCTCTAGATTCAACTTGGAGCGAATATCAGCTGTCAACTTCTACCATAACCTTGTTGTTGTTGTTGTTAATTGCCGTTGAGTCAAGCATGACTCATAGCGACCCTATGAACAAAAGGCCCAAAGCTTTTCTGTAACTATTGACAAAGTTCTGTAACTATTTATCAAAGTTCATAGAGTTTCCAGAGTCATGTTGTTTAGGAAGTAGATGCCACTCCTGCTTCCAAAATCTTATAGAAATGATATAATAAGCAACAGAGAGATAAAGTTTTGGAAATGGAGTTTGAAATGAAAATCTCTGATGTGTTAGCATGATATTTTAGGACCCCATGCTGATCTATTTTCTCTGGGACTCAGGACTCGGGCTTCTCCTGTGTTCAGAAGGGGCTTGAACCCCTCCTCCCAGGTCCCTTCCGACTCTGCAAGTCTGAGTCTCCCCCTATTTCTCTCGGCAGATTCAACCAACGTGGCTTTCACCATCTCCATGCTCCTGGGGAACCTCAGCAGCTGCTGCAACCCCTGGATCTACATGGGCTTCAACAGCCATCTCCTGCCGCGGCCCCTGCGCCGCCTGCCCTGCTGTGGGGGGCCCAGGCGTCAGATGAGCAGGCAGCTCTCCAACGGCAGCCTCTCCAGCCGCCGGACCACCCTGCTCACTCGCTCCAGCTGCCCCCCGACCCTTAACCTCAGCCTCAGCCTCAGCGGCAAGCCTGGGCCTGAAGAATCGCTGAAGGACCTGGAGCAGGCCAATGGGGAGGCTGTCACTGAGCTGGGCGTCTTCTAGGGCTGCGTCCCTGGAGTTTGACGCTGCCCACAGGGCAAGGTTCTCTGACCACCTTAGGTGTGAAATCAGAGAAGGTGAGGGCTGGGGTCCGTGGGAACACCCCACTTGGACAGCATAGGAAGACCACAATGACTATCTTTACTCTTGATGTCACAGCTTCTCTGGCCTCAGAGCTGCCCTCCTTGTCTCCTAATGCTGTGAGTTGAGAAGGCTAACCTGTGCCTGCAACCCTGACTGATCGATCAGCCTATCAGTGAACATGAAGGCAGCAAGTGTGGCAAAGGGGTCCCCATCAAGGGAGAGCCCGGGGCGGTGTGTCTGGATGATCTGTAAGTGGCAGGAACCCTTGTCAGGAAGGCCTGAGTCCAGATTTACTACTTGTGTCCACTCTAGTCTAAGCCAGCCCGGCCCAAGTCAGGGAGAGGGAAAAGTGAAGCAATAATAGTGTGAGCAGAACACTATTTGGATTTTTTGTTGCTGTTGTTCTGGTGGAGAAAGGTTTGTTTAGTGAAATGAGTGGGTGTGTGGGGCTTTGCTTCCCTCCCTTCACCTGCCTGAAGCTCGGTAGTTCTAACGGGGGTTCAGGATCAGTACAACATCCAGTATGGAGCAGAACCCTGCCAGAGCTAGCTCCTCCCCTTCTCTTCACACCGACCCCCGTTGGTACGCAGTCGGGTGGGTGCTGTGTAGAAAGTGCTGTGTACCTGTAGCATGTGCGTTCAGGTGACGGTGGGAAGAAGGAAAGCAAGAGATGGGGAGATATTCAAATTGTCACAGCAAAAACAGGAGCAAGGGTGCCTCAGCGGCATCAGGGATTAGTTGCTCCTTCCTTGCCTCCAGTGATCCAGGCTGTACCTTCCTTTGGGCCACACAGAGAAGATGTCCTCTGAGAACAGCAGCTTGATTATGGATCTGAATTTCCTTGGGGCTCTTCAGAGCTTTCAGGAGAAATCTGACAGATGTTGTGATCAAGTCAGGAGCCCAAGATCTGAATGACAACTCTACCTGGATGGTCATGGGCCATTCACTCATCTTCCCTTCCTGCAATCTCCTCATCTGTTAAACAGAGGTCATTGCAAGGGTCTTTTCTGGACCTAACCTTCCAAATACAAGACCGGAAGTGAGGTACAGCAGTAGAGAGAGGCAAAGAGCACTCTAACCAACCGGCTCTAGGAGAATTTTTTTTTTCATAACAATAACATTTATACTCTTTGACTCAATTCTAACATTGTTGGTCCTACCCTGGCCACGCAATCCACTTTTGTTCTTGATATTTTAATGCATAAACTCCTCTGAGGTCAGCAGAGACATTGGCAGGGTCGAATCTTGGGCCTTGTCCTGCTCTTCCTCATTCTCTCCAGTGGGATTTACACAATGGAAGAGCCCACTCTCTTTCTTGTTCTGATATAAGAGACACCTTGAAGTGGGCTCTCAGGAAATCTGAATCCTGATTCTATCCCCGTCACGGGTCACCAACCAGCACCAATAAAATGCTGGCTATCTTGGTTAGGAGAGTCAAATAGGATTGTAGATACACATGTCGTTTGTAAAGCCATGAGCTTAGTAGTAACTTAAACACAGTTTTTAAGCCACTCTAACTCATCGTGACTCTGTGTGTGTCAGAGCACTGTTTTCCATTGAGTTTTCAATGGGTTTTTGGAAGTAGCTCTTTCTTCCCAAGTATCTCTGTGTAGATGTGAACTACCAACCCTTTGGTCAGCAGCTAGCATGATAACCATTTGTGTGACCTATGAATTCATACTAAGGTAAAAGGTTACTGGATATCAAACAGGTCTGTCCTGGAGAAGGTGAAACCAAGCTGTCCTTGGAGGCTAGGACTTTGAAGCTCCATCTCACATACTTTGGGTACATGACCAGGAGGGACCAGTCCTTGGAGAAAGACATCATGCTTGGGAGGGTGGAGGGACAGCGCAGGAGAAAAAGATCCTGCATGAGATGGATTGACACAGTAACTGGGGTAATGGAAGGAGGTGTGACAGAGTCAGTGAGAGTGGCTCAGGAGAAGCAAGGTTCAGAGCTATTGTGCATAGGGTCACAACGAGTCACAGTTCACTTGACAGCACATAACAACAACAACAGACTAATTAAGAACTCTTGAGAGAAGTTCTATAAAATAGGTTCACTCTGCCTCTTATATCCAGGGAAACTCTAAGGAGTGACTGGCTTTTCAGATACATTTCTTTAAAAGGCCACTCAGCTTTAAAAAGTCTCTTCAGGCTTTCTTCAAAGAAAAGAGCCCCAAGCATTAAGAGTGAGTTAAGCACTCTAAGTATTTCAGCTCTCGAGAACCAGAGAGTGGAACAAAAGCCTGTAATGGGACCCAGGCTCACAGCAGACTGGAGGACCCAGGCCCCTCTCACTGGGGTCTGGAGTCTGTGTCAGCCTCTGACATCCAACCACTTCTTCACCGTCCATCTGCCTCAGTGAAGCCAGGCTGAGTAGCTACGGATAATTAGCTTGAACTGTTGAACAAGGTCCTTCTTGCACTTCTGTACGACCCTCCTCTCTTCAGACAACTGTTCCTGAGCCCCAGTGCCTATAGGAGGTACTAAGTATATTTTTACTCATCATGGTGACTGAAAGACAGAAGGAACACCAGCCTTGGACCCCAAAGACATGGATTTGACCAAGTCTCACCTCTTCTCCACCTGTATAAATGAGAACAAGCCATGCCGTCTCTCTGCGCAACAGTTTTTCTCATTTGTTGACTTGAAGAACAATACTTCTCTTTTTGGGAAGACCACATGAGACTATAGAGAGTGGTCCACTGAAGCAAGAGAAGATAGAGGAATCCTGGCTGCAGATTGAATCTGATGGGTGACTTCCAGGACACTAGCTGGGTCCAGAAGAGTTTACAGTTCAGAGAGGAAGAAGAGGAATCTGGGAATGAAGGTTGATTAAGTTACCTTTGATGTTTACTGTTTGCCTTCTGTGTGTATTCATATCATCAGCTTTGCATAGCATGAGGGGAATTTACTCACAGTAGAGACTTTGGGGTTCTCATTGTTCCAGGGGATGGTTATGCTTGATCTTCTACAGAAATGTTGTCCTATAATGAGGCTGGTGGGAAGTGACTAGACTCGAGGTTGGTGACCTCAGGAGCTCCAGAAGACAAGGATGCCTTGTCTGTACCTGTATCGACAGCTTTTGCAGTGCCTGTAGGAGCTCTCCTGGGTCAGCACTCGGTCTGAGCCAGCAGCAGAGCCTTGGATGGGAGATTCTGAAGGCAAGCAGCTCATGTAAGAGAAAGGTTCTGTATTCACTGACATCAACCCCATGGCAGAGAGGCCAGCCTGGGATACATTAACTATGTCGTATGACACATTTGTGTTTCAGCAGTCATGTGTGGACTTGGTGAAAGACAGCACTTCAATCTCTTGAGCTCATGTGGAAGCCGGGGGAGGGGGAATGGCAGGACAAAGGCTGGCAAGAGGTGACTAATCTGCTAATGGAGGGAATTTCTCAGTTTGGCGTTAATGTAGTTTAGCACAGGCAAGCATTTTGAAGATGACTGTGCTTTGCATGTGTGTCTTCTGTCTGTCAGGTAACTATAGACGGGGCCCAGATTACAGAAACTCCCTCCTGGATCAGAACCCCAGCCTGGTGGTTGAAGTCAGACCACTATTTCCAGACATCTTTGATTTTAAGAGGCACTGATAATGGGATATGCAAGATGAAATAATGTCAGCTCTTTGAGCAAGGGTGGGAGTGAAGAGGTAAGAAGAGCATTATGCTAAGTGAACTAACTCAGACTCATGAAGACAAATACTGCGTAAGAGCATTATTGTAGAATGAGTACGAGAATCCAAGGAGGGGAGGCAAGGGCGGAGGGGTGAGGAGGGCTGGGGAGTGGTGGAGGGAAGTTTAATCATAGGGTTGCACAATTTGATAGGTGGAGGGAGGGGAGGGTAAAAGAAAAGAGAAAGATCCAGTGTGAAAAACAATGTATACCAACTTTGTACGTAAACCAATACCAAAAAAAAAAAAATAGAGTAATGGTGATGACCTCTTCAGTACCCCTTCTAACTCAAAGCTGACTCTCCATTGGGTTTCCAAGGCTGTAAATCCCATGGGAAGAGACTGTCCATCTTTCTCCCGAGGCGGGAGTGACTGGCGATCCCAACCACCAGAGAAGCTGTATGTTGCCAGAGAACTCTTGAACAGGGTGAACAAAAGCATCCTGGAGTTCGTTGTGGAGTCACAAGGTGGCGGTGTGGAGCTGAAGGTGCCTCAACTATGAGCCTGGCCCAGGCTCAGGCAATGACGCTCTTAGGCAATGACGCTCTGACCCTAGACGCAGGATAGGCCTCCTTCTCGAGCCACATATCTATCTATCTATCTATCTATCTATCTATCTATCTATCTATCTATCTATCTATCTATCTATCTATCTATCTATCTATCTAACTGAGCTCCAGTCTAACACCTCTGTTTCCCCCCCCACCCCCCACTCATTACCCTCTTCTGAAACCATAACAAGCCAATCTGGCAACTCATTCATCCTATCAAATTTCATGCCATGCCTGATTATTCCTGGAGTGGTACAAATGATGAATTATACCCTGCACTATTAACTGAAAGGCTGTGAGCTAGAACCTACTCACAGGCACCTCGGAAGAAAGGGCAGGGGATCCACTTCTGAAAGGTCACTGCTATGGAAAACCTATGCAGCACAGTTCTGCTCTATAGACTCACCGGGAGTCACAGTTAATGACAACTTAATGACAAATGGCTTTTAACTTTCTCCGGAGGTTCTAGAGAGTCTTACATTCTCATTTGACCCAGTTCTTCTGAGGTATCCAGACACACTCCTTTCCATCTGAGCCCCTGGCGGATGCGTTTGCAAGTACAAAAAGCCCAAGAGGTGTCTATTGCAGGGTGCGTGATTCAGTGTTGAAAATCCTGGTGAGTTAGTAAGACACATGGATGAATGTTTGAGGGAGCGCAGCAGAATCACCTTCTTTTGGTGGAGAAGGATCTTCAAAACCAATATGACTTGGATGTCTTGAATGTAATCTGGTTTCCAACTGCTACATGGGCTACAAAGTACTTCTAAGTTTAGCAGTCTGCCCTGGTCCCAGAAGCAAACACACCCACCGGTGCTGAGCATAAAATGTCTCTTATAGTAATCTGGTTGCTCAATCAGACACTATCTCTCATGGAATTGGCTGCTGTTTCATAGTGGAGGTCTGGATTCTTGTTCCTTTAGAATCCATTCGTATTTGTTACTCAATGTTTTACTTAAGCAATTGGGTATAAATTATTACTTTTTGAAGCTCAAAAAAAATAATTCACTGAAGAGAGCTCCCAGGTAGTGCTGGCTATTGCATGTAATCTCGGTTCATTGATGGTGTGGAAGCAACATGTAAGATGCTGACAAAATATCGTGTGGAGGGATGTGGCTTCCTTGAACTGGAAACTGTCCTCACTAATTACTCATGTTGGTACAGATTAAGCAGTGGGATGATGAAGTTTGAAGAAGTACTGCAAATTAAAGGTCTTTTTCTTTCTAGCACCATGACTTTTGATGATTAACTAAAAGTGTTAGCAGGCTTCAGAGATAAGTTTATTGGCCTAAACTCCTCAGGAGGTAAAGCCAGCCCTTCTGTCCATTCATCAGGACACGTAAGAGGTTGTCTGTCACTTCTGTAAGTCACTTGGTGACTCGCTCTTTCACTCTTTTTAATAGCAAGCCTCTCTAAGAACACTTTCCCTTAAAAAGTAATCAGGAGGGGGGCTAATCATGGGAACCTCAGTAATATGCTAATTTGAAAGCTTGATCTGCTAGAAAAGTCATAAAAGCCAAATTTGTTTATCACCCATAAGTGGTTTGTGGTGTTCTATGGTTATGATTTCTGCCCTTCTCTAGTTCTCAGCCTTCGCACATCACCCTTGACTCTAAGCTCCTTCCGTTCAGGCTCTGAGTGAGAACCTGCGCCAAGTCAGGTTATACCCTTTCTGGGTGCCTCTTCTCTCATTGGTGATTTTTCCCCCACCTTTTCTAAGCTGACACTGGGGAATCAGCCCTCTCTGGGATGTGTTTCTGCTTAACTCTACCAGATCTTTGCATTCTTTTACCGAGACCTGCCCACCACTGCCCGCTCTTTACTCTGTTCAACCCGTGATGCTTTGCCGTGATGCTTTGTTCATGTTCTTTTCTTCTTGTTTGTTTCCACACCCAGGACCTACATGCTTTGACCCCACCACTCCCGATGGCCTCAGGCCTGGTTTTAATTGTTTTTTGTTAAACATTCTTCTAGGTGGTATAGCACTGGTCTGTGCATTGCTATACAGAAGTAACTCGTGGTTGCTGTGATGCTAAACACTGTGACACTGATGTGTCAAATGCGATAATGGTTACCCATGGTGGACAGTGTTTTGTGAAACTCCCTAGTTAAAACAAGCTTAGAAGCAGGAGTGGCATCCACTTCCAACATAGCTTATCTCTGGAAACGCTATGAACTTAGAGAAACGATAAAAGTTATACAAGTGTTCAGGCCTTTTATTAATACAGTCGCTATGAGTTGTCTACAGCTCGTTGACACTTGACAACAACAACAACAACTCCTGATGACCAAATTGTCATTTTATTTATGCCCCCTCCCTGTACAAATGGTTGATTGGTGTGTGCTTTGCTATGTATCTTTTAAAAAACAACAGAAAGACTCTTTGTACCTTGACTCAATTTCCAAAACCCAGCCCAAGACTCTGTTTTTGTCAGTGACGGCTAAGTTGTCCCCTCTCCTGGTGTGGGGATAGTCTAAGCCATGTCTCTGCGGTCACTTTGGGTACACTGTCACCTGCCTACACCTCTGAAACTCACTCTAATTTCTTTTTCTCCTTTTAAAAAAAGACATCAATACGAAGTAGAATTTCATTTTTGAATGCAAGCACCCTGTTGTGTACATGGGTTTTTTTTAGTGTTGTTATTCACTCTGCCTCTCTGATGATTAGGGAACCCTGGTGGCCCAGTGGTAAAGAGTTACACTACAACTTCAAGGCACATGGTTCTAATCCACCAGCTGCTTTGTGGCGGAAATATGGACAATCTTCTTCAGTGCAATTTACTGCCTCTGAAAACGTGCTCGAGGGTCAGCTGTGAGTTAGTTCTTAATGATACACAACAATAGTCAATAGACTCTCTTGGTGGTTAAAAATCAATTTTTAAGATGAAGGCAACAAATTGGATAACAGTTACCACCATAGCGTGGTCATAGTGACATCATGTAGACCAGAAGGACTCTCCCCATTCAGTTTCCAGGAACTGATTATTGGAATATGGATTGTTAAATCTTTCTTCTGAGGCTTCCCTGGATGTATTTGAACCCCTAGTCTTTCCTTTAATAGCTAAGCCCTCAATCATTTGTGCCACCCAGGGACTCCCAAGAAGCAAAAAAGTGAAAGAAAATCCAGGTCTTTAAGATTCTCCACCCATAGAAATCCAAAGCAGAATCATTGTTCCAGCTCATCTTGGGGAGGAGGAATGTAGGAAGGTGGAGCTCTGAGCACCAGGCTGAAGAAGGGGGCACAGTTAGTACATGGTCTCCAAGACTCAAATGTGGGAGTTTGGTGGTGGGAGTTGCAATGCTGAGTGTCTCTGGTGGTTAAAATCCACTAGAGGCTCTTCGGGAGCTCCCCTCCCATGCAATTTGCAGCTTTGGACACCCTCTGGAGGACCTGCTATAAGTTGGTTCCAGCTTAACAGCAATGACTGATTGAAGATCCCATGCACTGATCTTGAGTTTGCATTTGGTTTAGAGCATTTGTAGTGTTTCTAATTTTGTGTGCTTATTTAGCTATGTTGTTGCTGTTGTATGCCACTGGGTCAGAAGAGACCCTTAGCTGACCCTCCAGTGAGTTTTCAGAGGCAGTACACAGCATAGAGCAGGAGAAGAACATTAAACATGCCATCGACTGTTAAGAAAACAAACAGTTCTGTCCTGGAGAGGGTGAAACCAAGCTACTCCTTTGAGACAAGGGCACATGACCAGGAGGGATCAGTCCTTGGAGAAGGACATCATGCTTGGAAGGGTGTAGGGACAGTGCAAGAAAGGAAAACCCTGGATGAGAAGGATTGACTTAATAACTGGGGACTGGTTCAGAGATAGGGCAGAGTTCAGAGTTACTGGGCACAGGGTCATTATGAGTCAATTTATGACACATGACAACAACAAAAAACGAATAGCATAGGAAAAGATTTCCCATCCTTCTCCCAAGGAGCAATGTTTCCATATGGTGATTAGACGGTTTTTTGTTTATATGTCTAGTTTCTGGTTACTGCATGCTGCCATTTTAAGTCATTTTAAGTTAGTTCTCTGAGGTTTCTAGGGATTGGATTATATTTGCAAACAATGATAAGTTTTAACCTCCCTTCCCATCATTGTGTTATTGTTAGTTGTCATCATGTCGACTGTGATTGATGGTGACCCCATGTGGACAGCAAAAGTGGCCCTGAGGGTTTTATTTGGCTGTGATCTTTACAGAAGCAGACCTTTACTTCTGAGTACCCCCGAGGGGACTCAAACCACCAACCTTTAGGTTAGTAGTTGAGTTCAAATCATTTGTACCACCCAGGGACCTTCCCAATAGTTATAACTTGTCTTTGCTAATTGTTTCATTGTGTTTATTAGAACTTCTAAAGTTAATGCTAGATAATAAAGTAAATGATAGGCAGATATTCTTACTTTGTTCCTGATGTAAAAGACTATGTCTAGAGCCTTACAATTAAACAGTTTACTATTTGCTGGTTTGCTTTTGGAATCTTCGTTAAGAAATGTAATCTCAAACGTTAAGAAATGACATTTCTTAATGAAGATTCCAAAAGCCAAGCCTGTCCAGTCCAACTCAGTGCTGTCCGGTCAAGTTAGACTCACAGCAACATTGGGTTTCACAGGGCTGTCTAGCTCTCTCTCTCTTACATCAGGTGATAGATTTGCACCACTGATCTTTAGGATAGTAGTCTAATACATAACATGCCACACCATCTTTTATATGGTTAAAATAAACGAATGTGTTTTGAAGGTTTTGGAGGGTTGGATTTTGAGAGATTTTTTGTGGACTGTGATGTTGGTTGGTATTTACCAGGATTCCATTTGTCATCTTTTGCTGGTAAGAAATCCCCAACTCAAGGATAAGCTAGTGATGGACTCTCTAAATGAACTGTTTCAGTTTCTGAGGGCGGAGCACAATTATTCAGCAGGATATGGGACTGAAGAAAGGGTAACACACAGGGCTGAGAAAGAGTGGAAGAGGAACTAGTGGTTGTCATTTTATTTAAAGTTTCAAGGAAGTTGTTTGCTGTCAATAATTAAAGAGAAGTCATTTAACCATAACATTATGAAGCAAGTAGCTACTGCAAACTTTCTACTGATTAACTTTTTTTTAATGGAGAAGGATTTCACTTTCTCTGCTAAAGTGCTTCAAAGTTTTTGCCTGGAAGTTCTCCCTAACATCTGATTTGAGTTCCCCTTGCTGGAGGACAGGCTTATTTCCCCCTATGCCTTGTAAAGAGAAATTGGAACCCCTCCCCCCATAAAATGTGTGCAGACATTCATAGACAACTGGACCCTAGTTGAAAATCTAGAATTCACACTTGAGTATATTCCACCGGTTCAGAGGCAGCATGGTTTGCAAAAGTCCAGAAGTTGGTCTTGTGGCTTTTTGGATTGACATTGACATACTCTGTGGTTTCCTTTACATTCTCATAGTCCAGGGTAGATTCACTTTTCAGTCCTCCAGAGGTTGCAAAGACTACTTGTGTGTAATTTACTTCGCTGGGGCCCTGGGAAAAAGAAGAGACGTATAAATCAAGAGCTCTACTGGGTATGGAAGATATAAGCTCCTAGGACTAGTTAACATACTGCTTGGATTTAAGACTTCAGAGGATAGTTCGGTTTAAGGATTAGAGAATGTCTCAGGGTAATAATTTTGGAGCTTCCATTGCTCTAGAAAGTCTGAAGTTCATGAGAATTTAAAATTCTGTTCTACAGTTTTCCCCTTTTGGTCAAAATTCTTCCATAGAATCTTTGGTCAAAATGTTCAGTAATGATTGTCGGGCATCTTCCCGTGTTCTTCGTCTTAGGGCAAAGGAGTCAATTTTCCAGGATGGCAGTTAGCCACACGTTCCATTTCCTCCTGTTCCTGACTCTTCTTTCTCTGTTGTTTCAAGCAAATAGAGACTAATAATTGTAACTTAGTCGACTTTTTGCTAACTTTCAAGACTCTGGGCACTAAACTACAAACTAGAGGGTAGAACAGCAGCACCAAGCACACCACCAAGCCAATTAAATGGGACGCACCGTCCAATCATCACTCCAAACTTCCAAACCAAGGAAGCAAATCCCACGAGGATCTCAGTTATCATAAACACTCCTAGCTCTTCCATTTTTCTATCGCTTGCTCAGACCCTTTTTGTTTACGTCTGTGCTGGCATGGGCCCGGTCGTCTTCACCCAAGATTGTCTTCGTAACTCATGAAGGCCCTCTTTCCCTGCCCATCTCCTTAGCCGGGGTGGTCTACATGCTCATGTTTGACAGCAGGGACTCCACAGAAGGCACATGGAGGGCCCGTTACCTTGTATCTGGAAGGGGAGCTGTCAGAGCTGTCGGAGCTGTCTGAGGATGTATCACTGCCATCTAGGGAAAAACAGAAACTGTTTGCCTTCTGGAGAAAGTCAGAAGGTTTTAAGGGAAGATAGACAGGGGGCAGAAGAGGGCGACAAAGAGGCAGAGCCAGAAATGCAACAGGAAGGAGGAGAGACACAAAATCCCTACAAAACTAAGAAGTAAAACCAAGACAGAGGAAAGATGTTGACAGAAAGACTCCACAGTTAGCCCAGAAAAATGCCCAGGAACCCAGACATTGCTGTTTCCTCCAGGTTCACCTAAAACCAGTAAAAACAAAATAAAAACCTCTTAAACGATGATGTCCTGAGGCAGTGCAGGTCACTGCTCTCGGAGCGGGACTCCAAGCAGGCCATACTCCTTTATGTACTCTTGGTTTTACCACTCTTGTGTTTTCTCATAAAAGCAGTTGGATGACTATCTCTGAGATAATTCCTGCCAGCCAGTCAATCTCTGATTCTAGCCAGGCTTTGGCAAATCCTTGGGGTCAGAGGGTCATTTTGAGGCCAGCATCTGTGTTCTTCTGCTGAGCCACAGAATTCATGTGACCAGCCACCCTCTTCTCATATGTACTGAAGCCTTATCTCAAGTCTAAGAAAGTCTGACAACCAGTTTCCTCTAGTTAAAAAGATAAAACTAAAAGGATGGTGCAGACACAAACCAATCAAGAGATAAACCAATGGAAAAAGTACTATCACTGGGCAGAGAGCATCCAAAGGACAGTGGTTTTACTTCTCGTTGTCACCTTGTCAATGGGGATCTGGCCTGGTCTCCCCAGTCTTGAGATGGGAAGTAAGAGGGGTAGGAATAGTCTTGTCAATTGATGTGCTGTTGTTGAGTACCATCGAGTCGGAACCGACCCATAGCTGACCCTCCAATGGGTTTTCAGGGGCAGTAAACCACACAGGAGGAGATTGTCTTATCCTTCTCCTGCAGAGCAGCTGGTGGATTCGAACCTCATGTCTTTAGGGATTGCAGCACAGGTTCTTTCCACTAGGCCATGTGTAGGAGGGGAATCTGAATTTGGACCCACAGCAAGACACAGAGTTTACAGAACTGCCCAGAAACCATGCATGAGGAAATGCCTTTCAGGAAAGGGTAACTTCTGGAACCAGCCAATGATACAGGGCAAGTAGAACACTGCCTGGCAGACAGGCGGGAGCCAGACAGACGGTAGAGGTCTTGGTCCCACCGTTGAAAAGAGTAAAAAGAAAAACACCATAACATTACATAGAAAGGAACAGACAGACCCTAGCCAATCCCTCCACCAGCAGGACACACACACCCCTACAGCCATTCCCACTTGACCACACCTCTAAAGATTCTGACATAGGGTGACCCATGTGTATTAAAAGCAGAGTTGTGCTTCAGAGGGCTTTAAAGACCGTGAACTTGTAGCAGCAGACAGACCTTTCTGCCTACCTCTGGGTGGACCTGATCTTCCAACCTCTAAATATCTGAGCATTTGTGCCATCCACCCAAATATCAAGACTCAACCAAACCTAGCGAGAGACGACCCAAGAATAACATTCTGAAGAAGGTGGTAATGAGGAGTCCCCAGGGTGAGGTCCAAGGGGGCAGGGAGGATGCTGGTTGTTAGAAGAGGCTCCAGGGTGTTCACACAGAACAAGGTGAGCTTCCAGACTGCCCCTCCTCTGCACTACTCACGCCTGTAACGGAGATCAGGAGCAGGAGTGCTTCTCTCTGTTGGAATACCCTTGATCTCCTTGATTGCAGGGGGGTGATGCTGGGCTGGGCTGGGCTCAGGGGTCGGCACTGTGGCTGCTTTCGATATTCGTCCACTTACACGGGCTGGAGGGGAGGGGGCAAGGGTTAAAGGTAAGAGTTCCCTGGGTTAGGCACGTTCCCTCTTGGACCAAACACCTCTGAGCATTGCTGTCTTGAGAGTGACACATTTAGAGATGCTTTCAAATCTCCTCATTCCTCTGCTGAAAACCCTGCAGGCAATAGCTCCTCTCTGGTATGAAGCAAAGGTCAGGGAGGACCTCAGCCAACAGGCTCCAGGCATCTGTGCCCTCACACTTGGGCCCTCGCTGGCCAGTCTTCTCATCTCACCTCCTCACTTTCTATGAGTATCAGACACAAGTCAGGATTGCAGGGGTGCTGGCCACTCCTCCAGCCATCTCTCTCCTCCTTGTTTCATTTTTCCTCTGTGGTTCGAATCCACCAGCGGCTTCAAAGGAGAAAGATGAGTAATCTCCTGCCATACAATTGACGGCCTCTGAAAACCCGCTGGAGGGTCACTTAAAGAGTCAGTTCCCAATTGGCGGCAAGGAGTTAAGTTGTTGAGTACTCATGTGCTATGCCAAACACACTATGTGTTTTCCTTTTTTATTCATTGTTTCATTTCTCTTCCTCTCGCTATTTACAATAAGTCCTATGAATAAATATCTACAGGTATAAATATCTATTGAATGAATGAATACAGGAGCTTAGACTTTTTTTTTCTGGAATGATACACAAAAAACATCAGCCTGCTCAATTGTCTGCTGTAGAATAAATGTAAACTCACTGTCACTCAGCCCATTTTTCTTTCTCAACGACACTGGTGAATTTAAATCCACTCACATCCTCTGGATCAGCAGCGTGCCTCCCTAAGCACTACGCTCCCAGAGCTCCCCAGCTTTAAACACGGCTACGCTGAATCCCCGAGAGCAGGTTTATTTTAGGTTTGCTCCTTGTAATGACTTCCCAGGACAGGGCTTCTCTACCCTGACTGTAAATCAGTTCAAGAATTTCAGCTAATCTCGAGGTGCAACCATACTTCCTTCTGTTGCAATTCAAGGTCATTGCTTCATCTTCCGTCCTTTGTCAGTGATGAAGCAGATTGATTATGCTCACGTTAAACAAGCCCTTCCTATTTGGGCATCAACTCAAGATGAGTGAAAAATCTTCTTGAAGAGTAAACAGTAAAGAACATTCAGCACTGGGGCAAGTATATGGCAGTTACTTCGCGATCGCGTGCTTCTTGTGCCCTGTAAGTACCTTCCAGTCAAACGAAAGGGCCAGACCTGCTCTTTCCTGTACACAAATGGCTGTTGAATACTCAAAATGCGGCTCATCCATTTGAAATGTGTTATGAAGTGTAAAATGAACATCTGCTTTTAGTATAAAAATTATTAAGGAGATCTTTTTCATCCACTTTTAAATGGGTTATATATTAATTCTTTAGATATTATAAAAACTATTAAAATGAATGCAGCTAGCTACTCAACTCACTGCCATCAAGTCAAAACTGACTCATAGCTGACTCTTCATTGGGTTTCCAAGGCTGTAAATCGAAAGAAAAAAAAAATATAAAGCCCTTCCTACGAGTACTGCAGAGCCCTGGCTAAGCAATTCAGGTGGTGGAGGGATCCGGCCAGTGATTTCCAGTCACCAGTGATTTCCGGTCAGAAAGAGATTGGGTAAAACTGTCATCAGAGTGAGGAGGTGGGGTTAAGCCACCCACAGGAGGAGGTCTGAGGAAGGTTAGCCTGACCTTTGAGTTTGGAAGTAGCTTTTTAAGTGGTAGTTGAGGGCTCCAAACAGGACTTGTCCTGCCATGGGCTCAGGAATGGCCTCAGGGTGACCACTTGAGAGGGATCACTCCAGCCACTTACCCATGTGCCTATTGATCAGGTAATCAATAGTTGCAAAGAGGCTTGCCTGAAGGATGAGGGACACCAGTGCAATCACTAAACCATGCCAGACCTTCATGTCTCTGTTGAGAAAGCACAAGACCAAGGTCAGAAGAAATTGATTTAACAAAAATTGATTAATACAGCTCCAAGGTCATCCCTATATCCAGCGAGAGGCAGATGTCTGCCCTGCTGTGTGTCTCAGGGCACGTCCCTACACCTCACTGAGCAGTCAGGTGGGGGGAATTAGGAGAGTGGTGTGTATACTTGGGCGACAGCTGTCTCCGTTGGCCCTAAGTGGAATCACAGCTGGACTTGTGGGTCTCAGCCCCGCTCCAGCTCTTGGGGCCCACTCACTCTGTCAGCATGTTGAGCTTCTCTCGGCAGCCTCAGGTCATATAAGAGGGCCTATGGTGGATCCAGGGGCAGCAGGAAGAGGTCTAGGGGGAACTGGAAGCCTGCTCTTCAACTAGTGCCTCCAGAGGGATCCTCCAGGGAACCTGTAGGAGAAAAGGCAGCCAGTCAGGACTCCTGGGTCTAAGCTCAAATGCCCCCCAAAACTCAGCTTATTGAGGTCATTTGTTTTCTTGTCTCCAAATTTTAGATTAAGAATGTGCAACATGGAAGGAGTGAAAATGTCAGAATGAGGTGCATCCTGATGAACTGGCCTTGGGGCCAGGGTGGTGGGTGGGGGTGTCGGGCTGGTCCTGGGATGTCAATTTGCATTTAATGGATTATGTAGCTTCCTTAACACAAGAAGAACATTTTCCTTGACATTTAGGCTCTTTTATATTTTCTTCATCCCAAAAAGAAAACAAAAGTTTGAATTTAGGACTTGGCAAGCATCTCCGTGTTGTCTCCTGAATCAGGTACTCCCGTTTCTTTTATCCGGCCACGTTACCTTGTTTTCAAATTTGCATATTGCTTCTCTACAGTTTACCTCCTGGATTTTGAATGGAAAAGGCTGCTTTTCTTTTTCATTTCACCTCTTAAATGCAACATGGTGAAGCCCCTAAATCCAGTCATTCTGCCAACTTCTCCAAAGAAAGAATCAACTGTCACGGGTCTTCTGCTGCTTCCTTAATTGTAAAGAAATTATTTTAAAAACAAGAATCTGATCTTAATTGGAAACACATACTTTGATGATAGTATTTCTGAATTCTTTACCTTTTGTTCCAAAAAGAAGACTAAATAAATAGCAAGAATGGATGACTTTAAGGCTTGTTTAAACGTCTTCCATTTTCAGCCACCATCATGAAAAGCAGAGTTCACACAGCAGCAGTAAATTCCAAATATGCGATCCCACTTGAACTGACAGAGATGGTTAAAAAGTACATTGATCTGTGTATCTAAATCCTGGACCAGCTCTCACAAGTTTCTGAATAAACAAGTCTTGTTTTGCAATTAAACTTTTGATGTGATAAAAAGCATGAAGACAAAATACCTTGAGGTTAAGATTCAAGAATAAAACCATTACATGCTCAGTACAGAGAGAGATTTTTATTTTCTTTTTCATGAGGAGAAAGATATTTCTCCTAGAGAAAGCAGTTTTGTTCACTTTTTCCTCAGAAGTCTTTGGACACTGGTATTTTAAAATGTTTTTCGTTTAAATGAGGATTGGACCATGGAAGTTAACTTAATGCACACATACTGAGTCCTAGTTGAAGAAGAGGTAAAAGGAAACAGTCTTGATTCAGCCCAGTGACGGAACCCTTTTTACTTTTCTAGAAAGTGAAGATGTGGAATAAATAATTTCATATTTCTTTCTGGAGTCTATTAATAATAATAGTTAAGACTTGGTTTCTCTTGTTGTCATGGCTGGAAGAAGAAAACTGGCATGAATGATTTTTCAGTTCAGAGGATATTGACAGACTCAAATATATGATCTGCTTTCCATTTTAGATTGAAAGAAATTGGAGGAAATGAGAAAGGTTTCACATGACTCCTTTCTTCTAGACATAAGAAGCAAAGATGCCTTATTCAATTCAGTCTTACTTTTTATATCCTTTAGCTCCATTCTTCATAAAAATGAAGTAACTTTCCCCTCCTCCATTCAAGAGGAGTACGTGGGCATTTAATTTGTTAAATACTATGCATACTGCTAGGCTAAAATGGTAGAGACACAGTTAACTATTTGGAACTTAAGCTCCTCATAAAAGAATGGGTCTCAGAAAATCTGTGGTTATATCAGTGTAGTTTGAGAAAAATTCAAGATCTAAAGAAAAAAAGAAGAAAATCTTCAACAAGAAAAAAAGAATCTGCAACATGGCATTAACAGTAATAATAATTACAATACTTATTAACTGGTGGACACTCAAAGTCCCTGGGTAATGCAAATGGCTAATGTTCAGGGCTGCTAATGGGAAGGTTGGAGTTTCAGGCCCATCCAGAAACATCTAGGAAGAAAGTCTTGGTGTCCACATCTGAAATATCAGTCCTTGAACCCATCAGGGGCACAGCTGTGTTCAGCCACACAGCAAGTTGTCAGATGTCAGAACCAGCCCAATGGCAACTGGTCAACCAGCAATGAAGCCTGGGCCAACCACACTGCTGAGTTTTGGAACACACCAGCATCATCTTATCTCTTTCAAACAACAATCCTAGACACTTGATGCCATTTTAAAAAGAAAAGGAAAAACAATCAGCATCAAGTTGGTTCTGAGTCAAGCTGGGCTCCACAGGGTGTTCTATGGTCAATTGCTTCAAAGTAGATTCCCCAGGTAGTTCTTCCGAGATGCCTCCATCCTTTCAGTGGGGCCGCTGAACATGTTAACAATTTACCACTCAAGACTATTGTACACAGTAGAAAATAAAAATGAATGCAAATAAGCACTATAAAGTGCTAAAGAACAATGATGTCAGTCTACAGACTAAGGTGTGCCTACTTTAGGCCACGGTCTTTGCAATTACTTGCTACACAACAGAGATCTGGACAAGGACTAAGGATGAAGAATAGATGTCTTTCAGTTGTGGTACTGGAAAAGAGTCTTGAACATACATAATATGAGCTGCTAAGTCTTGGAGAGGGTAAAACCAAGCTATTTCTTGGAGACTAGGATTTTGAAGCTCCTTCTCCCATACTTTGAACACATGGCCAGGAGGGACTGGTCCTTGGAGGAGAACATCATGCTTGGAAGGGTAGAGGGACAGCACAGGAGAGGAAGACCCTGGATGAGATGGATTGACACAGTAGTTGGAATAATGAATAGGAGTAGGTGTCGGAGACAGTGAGACTGACTCAGGATAGGACAGAGTTCAGAGCTGTTGTACGTAGGGTTACTCAGATGGCTTGATGGCACATAACAACAACAACCACCACTGTAAATATGAAAAATATGAATAAGTACTCTGAATCTTCTGCCATATTCTTCCAGAAAGTTTTCACGTGTGATCTTAAATATATGTGTTATGATGTGTAAAAACCGATATATGTATACATACAACTATTTTAACATGTGGCCATACTGATTAATAGCTTCCCTTCTTTACTTGTTGTTGAATGCTGTCAAGTTGGACTGACTCATAGCTGACCCTCCAGTGGGTTTTCAGAGGCTGTAATTTCCTGGGAGGATATTACCCATCTCTCTTCTGTGGAACAGCTGGTGGAATTGAACCTCTTGCCTCTTGCAGTTCAACTCTTTACCAGTAGTCCACCAGAGCTCCCTCCCTCTTTACTTGTAGTTGTTACTGGTGTGTACTGTTCAGTCACCCCATAGCTAACCCTCCAGCGGACAAGGCCCGTATGAGAGAGAGATGAAAACCTATATCCCTCCTAAGGGCAAAGCAAAAAAAGAAGTCCAAAGATCCCAAAGATGGCCCCTTTGGCTTTTTTCTTGTTTTGTTCTGAGTATCACCTCCAAATCAAAGGCGAGCATCCTGGCCTTTCTGTTGGTGATGTTGCAAAGAAGCTGGGAGAGATGTGGAGTAATACTGCTGCCGACGACAGGCAGCCCTGTGAGAAGAAGGCTACTAAGCAGAAGGAGAAGTACGAGAAGGATACGGCTGCATACAGGGCTGAGGCAAGCCTGATGCCGCCAAAAAGGGAGCTGTCAAGGCCGAGAAAAGAAAGAAGAAGGAAGAGAAGGAAGATGAAGAAGATGAGGAGGACGAGGAAGAAGAGGAAGATGAAGAAGATGAGGATGAAGAGGATGATGATGACTATGATGAATAAGTTGGTTGTAACACAGTTTTTAACCCCCCTGTACACAACTCATTCCTTTTAAAGAAAAAAAAAATTGACATCTTAAAAAAAAAAAAAAAAGAGTCTAGCCTAGAAAACCCTACGGGGCGGTTCTGTTCTATAGAGTTACTAGGAGTCAGAATCCACTCAAGAACACACAGCATCAATATGGGACAAAGGAGTCTTGGTGGTGTATAACGTTAGGCATGAGACTACTAACAGAAAGGTCGGTGGTTCAAACCCTCCCTGAAGCTCCTTGGGAGAAAGAACTTGTGATCTGTTTTTGTGAAAATCACAGTAAAGAAAATTCTATAAAACAATTCTTCTTCTGACCCATGGGTTAAAATGGACTTGATGACACTAGACGGGACGCGTGCTTCCCCCCCCCCCCCCCCATGGATCCCTGAAGGCGCTTGAAGGCTTTGTGTTTTAGAACATTGTTTTCAATCACTCCAGTTCCACTTCACCGTTGTTTCTCAGTGGTATCAGATGTCTGGGGCCAGGCAGCTCTCTACCTTTGAACCCATTTTGCACATTCCAGGACAGTTATCATCCTGGGAATCTGTCCAGGCAACCTGTTGATTTAACAAACATAATGACTTAAAGAGACCCCATGCATTTCAAATGGCCCTGAGGCAGGGTGGTTTTGTCCCCATTTGAGAATCACTGCATTTAGTAAGTGACCTACTGTTTAAAAATCTGTGGCTTATTGGCTTATTTTCCTTCTTTGTATACACAACTACATTGCCTATACATCCATTATGAGTACCTTACTAGCTAAATGATCTTTAGCAGTTGTGTTAAGTGTGTAATAGCACAGAGCACAGAAGGTCAAGCTCTGGCTTCTGAAGTCAAACTGGTGCAAATACAGATCTCAGCTCCTTCTAACCATGAGATAT